CAACTGACGGAGTACACTGCTGAGGGGAGCAGCAGACGGATCAGGAGAGGTGTGCACACCATGTGGATCACCTCTGGGGCAGGTGGGAATTGAACTCATGCAGAAGTGGCTTTAGCTTCTTAGTGCTGTGCTTTAACATGCTGCACCACCAGGGAGGGCCCGCTCTACATTCTTTAATTGCTTACATTTCTTACTTATAGCCCTAGTTATAGACTCAAGTTGAGAGTTAAAATTTTCACTCTTTTATTCCCTTCTTTGACATTTTCATCTACACTCATGTTTTTCATCATCACTTTATGATGAGTGGTTCAAAATCCTGGGCAGACATCTCCCCATTCCAATTACTGATCATCCCTTCTTAACATCAGACTCTATAGGGCTAACACTAACTGCTATCTTTCATCATCCAAAAAGTACACTTTCTTTCACATCCTATTTAAAATTATTAAATGTAAATTATATGCTAGAAAGTTCATCAATCACTTTAGATACAAGAATTATAAATTATTATCTATATGTCATAGATTAAAAGTCTTAAAGCAAATAATTTAATTAACATACTCAGCTTCACCCATCCAGTAGGGAATAGAAATCAGATGAGAGTCCAAGTTTTGGTTCTCTAACACTTAAATCCACCTTTCTATTACACAATAATGCTTCTTAGTCAATGGAGTTGTCATATTTGTCTCATATTTAAAAATTAAAACACTCAAGTAATTTTTTTTCTTTTTTCTTGATTTGATTTCCAAGTTCTGTTTATAGATAGGAACTGTGTTTCTGCAAGTATCTACTTCCCTTCTATGCTATGTTTCTAAAAACAAAAACTATGCTCTAGTCATCATTTTATTTCTTTCTGTAATAAAATTCCTTATGAGTGGTAGGTTCTCAGCCAATCTTGAATAGTGAACAACAGTATATTTCAAATATCATTATATGTGTGCTACAGTAGTTTATGTCATCTGTTAAGAGCCACCAACAATATCATATATAGCAAATCAGATTTTGCACTAAAGGAATAGTTAGGTATAATTTGCTGCAATGAAGAACAAAAACGGGATCCAAAATATACTCATGTTTTAGCAGAAATCATGAAGTTTATCACTTCCCTTGTGTGTTCAGCCTGGAGCCATTGTACCCATTTCTAGCCACCTTATGCTTTACACTCCAGGAGATTTCCCATGAGTTTAGGGGAACATGCCTCCTTACATCTCTGACTAACTGAAGGGACTCCTGGGAAGTCTTTTTATACTTCCAGAAGAATTATTTAGGGCTAGGAGTGAACAGTCTAGCCAGATTTCTTGGCATTGTAAGAACTGGCTGCAGTGTCCTGCTATTAGTACAAATTGTCAAATTGTCAAATGTGAGTGTATTCAATGATTTCTGCATAAGTGAGTGGGTAGATGTAGTTCTCCGGAATCTATAATTTCCAATTCCTGCATTACCTCCCATATTTCCTTCCCCAGACAGCCCTAAGGGGCTGTCTCACGATCAGGTGTGCTGCAGGGCTTTTCTATACATAGCAAACTACAGTGTCCCGGCAAGATACATGATGCAGAGTTTTGCTAACCCTGAAAATAGTGGGACCATTTTGGATGCCTCTGACTATGACAGTATTTTGATTCTGTATGGTAAGGAACGATCTGAAAAGTACCTGTCTGTGTGATGCTAAAGTCGTGTGTTTCCTGTGATGCTCTGCTATCACCTTGATACTGAAACTCTGTTGTTATTTTATCATAAAACATCTTCATATATATATATATATTTAATGAGAGTCACTATGGGACTAAAATCTTAAAATCTTTTAGCTAGAAACACCATATATTGTTGGAGATTTATTTTTACTTATGCATACAAGCACTGGGGGTATAGGTTGGGGGGGGACAGAAAGTAGGGCACAGAACAGGCAGATCCACTGAAATACACTTCTGAGGGGAGCAGCAGTTGAGACAGGAGAGTTCTGCTGTGCCAAGTGAGTTAGCTCCCTGGCTGGGGATTGAACTCATGTTGCAGTGGCTGCCAATAGCTTGATAGTGCTGAGAGTTTAATCCTTGCACCACCAGGGAGGCCCCAAACACCATTATTTTAAACAATGCATGACAAATTGAAAAATAGTGTCTCAGCTAGTTGAGCATCAAGGAAATTTAAGTGAAGGAAACATAGACTAGAGGTCTCAACTCTTTGTCAGAAGGTTAGGATATTCCCAGTAAAGAATGACTTACTTATTTAATGCCTTTTTGCATATGAACAGTGGCAGGCAAGATTGATTCTGGTAAAAAAGACTCCATTAATATGCTTCAACGATGTGGTTTCCATTGTTATTGGTGGCAATCTACACTTTGGGGGACTTGGCTTCACTGTGCATAGTCACCCTGCGTATAAATGAAAGGATGCCCCTTTCACATTCTGTCAGTGGTGGAAAATAAAATTCTATATGAATCTAGTTAGGAAGGGTAAACCTCCCATCTGCAAAAATCTGGGATGTTTTCTGCTGCTGTATTATGATCACCTGGTATAATTTTGATAATCATCTCTCATTCTTTACCTTCCAAAGCTCAGCTTTGTCAAAAGAGGTAGAGATATGGGTGTTCATGACTCCTCAGGAATGCCAATTGGGACAAATAACATCAAATTATCTTCTGATTCTATTGCTTAGCCATTTATGTAGATTGAATTGAAACTTAACAGGTCTCCTTATTTAGTTTTTTCATCCTTTTAACTTCAATTGTAGAGTATGTGGAGATATCAGAGGAAGGTAAAAAATTATATCCCAAGGCCCTATTTTATGTATTACTGTTAATGGAGGCTCTATTTTAAGAGAGCAATTCTGCATAATATTTAGCTCACAGTCTGTGTTCCTGCATTTTGCAAGTGATAAAACCACAAATGAATTAGTTTAGTGAGTCCAAATAAGTAGCAAGTAATAAAGTTTACATTCCAAATATTCCAATTATAAGTGCATGGTTCATTTTGTTATTCTCCTAGAGAAAATTCATTTTAAGTTCTGTGTGTATATGTGTGTGTGTGTATCCTACAATTTGTCTTATTTGGTCAGCCTTTGTCTCTCTGCTCTGAGCTTGGTTGCCTTGGTTACCATTACATACAGGCTTCTATGTGAGGTTCCTCTTTGACGTACATTTATTTCTATGGAAACAATGATGTCATTGGTATGGGTAAGTTCTTAGGGAAAGCATAATGAAGTGTTGAATATTGATCTTTCTTGGGTTACAAAATGTATCATTAAATTAGTTGTTTAATTAGAGAATGATATTTTTTGCTTTCCTTTTCGCTTGATTGTGAAACTATTATTAGATTGCAGACTTGCTCAATTAAGTGACTTAGAGTAGCAAATATATCTCCTTTTGCAATATCATGAGTTCAATACAGATGCATATAGCAATATGCATTTTCTTAAGATTATTATATAAACTGTAAAAGTCACTCAATGAGTGAAAAATTTATCTCAATAATATTTGTGATAAAAAATTGTGTGACAAATTTTATATTCACATCATAGCAATGAACAAGGTATAGATGGCAGACTAGGAGGGAAAATTTGGTCATACTTATCATTATTATTTTAAAAATCTCTAGGTTTAGAAACATAGAACTGATAGTTATTAAAACATGTGTCCTATGATCTTAAAATAAACTAAGTATATTTGGTGTCATGTTTTCTTTGAAGTCTTAAGAGTTTTTTAACCTTTTTTTTTAAGTTTCTGTTTTACTTCTATACTATTACAGTCTAATTTTTTTTCTTTGTAGATGATGTGGAAACCTGCCTATGATTTCCTCTATACTTGGGGCGCTCACTATGGAAATAGCTACAGAGATATGTTACAAGACCTTCAATCAGCCTTGGACAAAATGAAAAACCCTGTGACCAAGGAATGGCGAGACTTAACTGGAGCTTTAATACTAGTAAATTCTTTAGAAGTTTTGAGAGCATCTGCATTCTCCTCTGCTGAGGAAGTACAGAAATGAAGGGTATGCTTTTTGGAGGAGGGAGATGGTAGGGAATGAATGGTGTGTGTGTGTGTGTATGTGTGTGTGTGTGTGTGTGTGTGTGAAAATCTCAGAGTATTGCTTTATTATGGGCTTTATTATCCCATCCATGGGTTCTATTATAAAAACAAATATTACTGTATACATTTCAGATGTAAATATTAGGCTGTTTTGTTGATGAGGAAGGAAAGAAAAGGCCTCTCTCCCTATAGTGTATTTTCATTTCTTTAAGTTAAAACAAATGACTGTTAGAATAATTGCTTCACCTAGATACCTCGTTAAGTGAGAAGCTCTCAATGTGGACCTGGGGGTTTTACGAGGTGGTAGGTAGAAAGAGAGGAGAAACCAATACGGCTCCGGTCAGGCATGGGATATTACTTTTTATACCTCATCTCTTTTTATTCCTCAGTGGAGTTTGCCAGCATTATTCCCTTTTCCTTTGACAAGAACAAGCTCAAGGCTGTTTCCAATGTGAAGTAGTATTTCTTTTTGAAAAGCCTGATTGTATTTTTTTTTTAAATCATAACACGTAGTACAATAGTAGCAAATAAAAAAAATCTTTATTATATCTTGTAGGGAAATGATCACTTTTTCATTTTAATTGAAGCTCACCGATCTTTTCCTTCATATCTTAAAAAAACTTCCAGAAAGAAAATATGACTTATTAACAGACATCTGTTTGCTCCATGAACTGCAGTTTTCACCATCTTCCTTTAGCATCTTAGGACCTAGTTAGCCTGCCTAACTTGAATCTTTTATTTAAGGTGATTGCATTGTCATTCTTTAATTGTCAGGAATTTTTAAACACCTGATATATCCCTGTTGAATGCAGCATTGTCAACCACCAAAATCACTGATACCTCTGTGTGTGTGTGTGTATACCCACAAGCATGTGCAAATGTGGGTGTGTTTTGTATGTGTAACTGTGCTTTATAAAGCTTTTGGAAGGCAAAGATTATATAGGAATTTGGGCCAGTATAAACGTTAACTGCTGGCAGAGTTCACAGGGAGTTGGTCCTGTACTTACTCGTTTGTTCAATCCTCTAGCTGCCTGCCAGTGTTTATGTGTTTTGTACAGTGGTTCTTTTATTGCCTCTCAGCCAACAGAGTGTGTGAAGCTGCTCTATGGCAAGCACATAGGTGATTGAGCTTAATCATGGGGAGAAAAATAACATGATCCTCGAAATCAGCACTGTCAAGAGATGGAGACACACAATAGTAAAAAAGTACAGTTGGATGTAAAGTGACATTGGTAATAGCAACTACAGCTACAGTGGAGAGCTGTGGTGCCAAGAAATGTGTCTTCTTGAGGCATCAAGTACATCGTGGTTGTTGGGGGGCGGGAGGGGGAGGGTTGGGAAGAGGACAAACAAATTTTCCCTGGGAAAGAAATGATGAACCTGAAGGAGGCTCAGGCATTGCCTCTGGTCTGGGAAGGGTAGAAGAGGTGGCAAATTCTTTGCTACACTAAGCAGTGCAGTGTAGGAGTGAAGCTGAGGAGATTGTGAGCCAGCAGTAAGGGCCTAAAAGGGTGAAGGAGTGAGTGGAGGGAGGAAAGACACCCCCTCAAAGGTAATGTGGATGAGCTGAATAAGGATTTTGTACAGGGATCCTGAATAAAACATGTCCATTTGGCTAAAAAGTAAAAGCGGAATCTTTTTAGAGCTTTTAATACACCCACCCTGGGGTATTTGGTATGCTGGCAAAGGTAATTTGAATTAGGGTTTAAGGACAATCTTTAAGGCTTTCAATATTTATATTTGATGATAAGAGAACACAGCCTGCCCGAGTTCTGCACACACATTCAAGGACGGTATTTATTTTAGTTGAAATTAAATTCAGGGAGAGGGAAAAAAACAATTTGTAAGTTCAAGACACAGTCATTTTTACTGGTGATTTTGCTTTCTTTAGAACATTCTTGGAATCTTAATAACATGTCAGCAAAACAGAGAATTTCGGGAAGGGATAGTAAGGAATTAATAACTGGGTTTTTCCAGGCTACAAGATCTGAAAGGACAGAGATCTTGCTAGCTGATTAGGTTAAGATTAAATAAATCAAGTCAGGTTTATATCAAATCATGTGCTGTGGTTTTGGTTGGGAAGTGCAAGAAGAGCTTAAAAAGACAATCTGTAATTTATAGATAAAGCAATAGTTTAAATATTAATACACAAAGATATTTTATAATCCTGTAACAAATCCTTCCAGAGGAATTTTAAACCCATGTCCAAGCATTCTGTTGACATAAATATATTCTAATATTTTATAAATCATTGCTACTTCTCTGAAAATTTTATTTTCTCTTTATAATGAATTTTAATAATCAGAAAAGATTAACTCAGTAACCATAAATTGCCTTTGATTTTTGGCAGTAAATCAAGGGAATTAATAAGGTCCTTAAATCCCTTCCTTGACATCATTAAAAGCAACAGAAGCCATTAGTCTAGAGCTTGTTCAAGCATTTCAGAAGTGGAAAAAGCATAGACAGTTCTTCCACTTCTCAGACTTTTCCTCTAATGATGCATCAAAATGAAAATTTAGTTCAGTGCTCCTCTTGCAATGAAACAATTTTTCTATGTGAGCCACTACTTCCTTCTGTTAAAGGCTTTACATGAAAGCCAATTAAGGAGATGTATGTATTAGGGGGGTCATTCATAAACTGTTCATTTAAATAATGAGAACACCACACTCTCATGTCCTTTAATGTAGAAAATGCCATGTGAAGTTTTGAACTTGAGGATGGCTAGGTTTCGAGGAGCAGAATGTAATGGATAGCACTCGGTTGACAAAGGTCACTGCTAGTAAACAGCTTTGAATATGTGATATGAGCATCTAATAAGGAAATACATGCAAAAGTGTACAATGATATAATTAAAAGTTTCAAATCTAGTTTTTCACATTGTGGTACTCTACGTTGATTTCATAGTTACAGCAAGCAAATTGGAGAATTTAGACTTTTTTTTCTTATTCATTTTGAATAATTAAAGAATATTTGAGGCAACATAATGGAAAGGGAGAATAATGAGAAGTTATATTGTTGAGGCTTTTCTAATTAAAATGGATTTTTTCTTCATTTAAATACATAACTTTTCCCCTCTTTTCTGTGTGAAGTTTCCTCCACATGCTACTACTATATAACTTAGTGAAATTCTGAAAATCATGTGCTGCCCTTATCTTAAGAAGGGTTAACCTAAAGATATTCCTCCAGCTGAAATAATTGTTGAAAGTTAATTTCCTTCATGCATCTTTTCTTGACCCACAGCACAAAATTAAAATTGACTGCATACACAGAAAACTTGAATTTGTAGATATCCAGTTTTATATTGCTTCTGGTATATATCTGACATTCAGTATAACAATTTCACTGAGTGTTGTAAAAATTTATGACTTTTTCACATATATTCTACATTGATTTGATATATATATATGTGTATATATATATGTATGTATATATAGGGTTATACAATCTAGAAAGTTTTAGGCCTAATAACTTTGCAATTATGAATAATAGATAATAGTTTAGTTTATCTATGAGGGAATGATGATGAAGAGGTGAGCACTGGGTAATAACTAGTAAGATCAAAGCAGAAAATTTCAGAACACCACTGATGTAGTACTGAGCACAATATGAATGACTTCTTCTGCAATATGCTAGTCCAGGAATTTAGCTGTAGCTTTTAGTTTTTGCTTATTACTTCCTAAGAGAGATATTTTTTAATCTAAACATGTAAATGAATATGTATTGTTTGTCGTTTGTCTATTGTTACAGTAACAAATTATCACAAACTCAGCAGCTTAAAACAATCCAGACACATTATTTCATAGTTATGTAGGTCAGAAGTCTGGTAGGCTCAGCAGGTTTCTCTGGTTTGGGTGCTCTGAGCTGAAATAAAAGTGCCAATCAACCTGGGATTTTGCCTGGAGGCTCAGAGGGAGACTCATTTCCTGGGTCATTCAGGTTGTTGACAGAATTCAGTTCCATGTGGTTACAGCACCAGGTCCACATTTCATTGCTGGTTGTTGGCTGGAGATTGTTCTTGGTTTCTAAAGGTTGCTTCTGTTCACTGTGGCCTTTATCTGTTGTTTTTTTTTTTTCTCCCTCTTCCAGGAGGTTTGCTAGATTTTGACATTTTTTTTTAAATTATTGTTTTTATATTTATTTTCTGGCATGGCTGTTATTTTCGGAGTGTTTGGTTTCTCCCCTCAAGCGTATCCTATAGTTCCCACCACCATAACCTGTGATCCATACCATAGTCCCTCATGCTCTTCCTTCCCCTGTTTTGATGCTTCACCCTCCCCATCCTCTGTTGTATGCCTCAGATCTATGGTCAGCTTGCAAGTTTTGTCTTTTTCCTCATTGTTTGGTTTCTCTATATTCCAAATATAAGTGCAACCCTTATGATATTATGTGTTTCCTTTGACTTATTTTACTTAGCATAATCCCTTCCGGCTTTCTCATGTTGCCACAAATGGCCTGAGTTTCTCTTTGATCACTCCATATATCCCACATCCTCTTGATCCATTCATCTGTTTTGTGGCAATTAGGTTGTTTCCATATCTTAGCTATTGTAAATAGTTCTGCAGTAAACACAGTTGTTAATATTTCCTTTCTATAGAGTTTTTGTGTCCTTTGGGTAGATTCCTAGGAGTGGAATCACTGAATCATATTGTAGATCCATTTTTTTGTGTGTTTTGAGGGATCTCCATACATCTTTTAGTAATGACTGGGCCAGTTTACATTTCCACAATGTAAAGGGGTTTTAAGAGATTTTTGATTTGTCACTTAGTCTCCGTAGGTTTCAGTTTTCTTGTCAGTAAAACAAGGAGCTTGAACTAGGTAACCTCTAAACTTTCCCTTAGTTTTAATGTCTATGGATATATATTAAGTAGGACATTTCATACTTTATTGTTTATTTTACTATGAGGCAGAGAATGTGAATTAAGACTAATAATTTAAACACCAATTATGTTAAAGTAATGT